AACAAGTGCCTTACTAGTAGTAACAAGAAGCTATTAGGAACAAGTGCTTCGCTACTGGTACCACCTCTGGGTACCTGAAGACGTCCACTCGACCTGACCTGGAACCGGAGAGGAACATCTCCATGTGGATGGTTTGGAAAAAGGTTTGGTGAACTGCCACGAACCAAAGGGGATAGAAACTGATCACAGCTACCATGGGAATACTGGCCAATGTTTGAGAATGCTTGAGGACACCTTCTCTGAAAACCGTTTTTTTCAGGACCCACCCCACACCATAGCTTATATATGGAACACCGTTGTCAATCTGCTGTGCTGGACTCTTCAATGGAAGAGGCGACACCACTGACCCATGCACCACGCGCTGCTCCACTGGTTGCCCGAAGACGAGTGGCGCTGCTCCTCCGTCTCGAGGGATTTCACCGGTTTCGTCCTCGTGCGAAGGAAGGGGAACTGATGCACCAAGACCAGCAGAGATATGTCTTCTTCCGTAAATAATATGTTCATATATTATGTTCAACTACAGTGACAGAAACTGAGACACTGACAAACAGATTCTATTGTTTTTCTTTGCAAACATCTAATCGCAAATCCAACAATCAACTGATAGCTCAAAAAAGAAAAGGCTCACCCACTAATGGTCCACTGAGTGTCATCTAGTCGGCAAGCTCATCTGGTTCCGTGATTTCACCCTGTTCACCATGTCCAGCCTGGAATCCGAGCATGGTGGGTGAAATCTTCCATTTCAATGCACTAACTTAAGGTCCAGGTCCGTACCCCCACACCCCTTTGGTTTGGCCAGGTGATGGGGATTGTGAATCATGCTCGTGCATGATAGTTTCCATCAGTTTCCATGATTTCCCAACACATCATTGCATCCTGCGTTTCTTGTATAATGAAGTCATATTAAGTCTGCAATCTTCAGATTTCCAACCTTCTCTCCCCCCCGTTGGGCCCCCGGGCGCCATCGTCGATCAACTCTTGGAATGTGCAGGGGGCCACGGGAACCGTCTCGGAGCCAAGCAGCCGTCAGCATCCACTTGGCGAACGGGGGACCCCCTGGTCCAATGGGTTTTGGTATGGTGTGGTCTATTGATGCCTATTTATCTTTTTGGGGGTCGAACTGGGAGGTCTCCCCGTTTTAATCACACCAATATATATATATATTATATATATATATATGCATCTCGAAATGACAAACAAAAACACATACACATACACCTATTGTTGAAGTCTCATCCGTTGTGTGCAGGACGACTCTTCTACTCATACACAGTGGACAATGAGAATATCATGATCAGAATATCAGACATGCCAGCCACTGGTAGTGGTAGGGCTCCACTCAAGAGGTCTCTTACATGAAACATGGCACACTAAAAACACATAAAATTCTTAAATCATGGATCCATTTGAGACCTGTGTCAGGCAAACAGGTAGCTTCATATCTCCTACGTGAGATGCTTTGACTTGCATGACTGACCTGCAGTGACTAAAAGCATCCTACGTTATCATATAGGATACATCAGCATTTACTGTATGGGACCGTATATAGGATAATTCTTTGCATGCGCATCCACTTGAGCCATTCTAAGCTCATCCCAAATTCTGTCTGGTTCTGGATCCCTCGATGTCCCTCACATCCTCCCGGAAACCTGACTTGGGGCAAAGTACGATTCACGGATCAGAGGACTCTACCGAGCTGGACGGTCCCCCATGCAACACATCGAACTAGCAGCTAACATGAAGCACTTGACAATGAGTGTCCATCCCCTTCCCAAAATACCAAGCTTGCACGGTGTTTTGTGCCATGAGCCATGTCTTTTGGAGACCAGCCCGCCCGGTCTGGCCCACAACACGCGAAGACCGGAGATCTGTGGCGGTGTGAAATCTTCAGCCAACACCCTGCTGCTAGGGGTATTGGTGATGTTAAAACCGCAAGAAACATCGCTGGGCTTCTGACTCTCAGAAACGGATGCTTCGTGGCATCGGTTTGATCCGTTTAAGACACGAAGACAGCACGACGTGGCACTGCGTATCGAACGACGTGCGAGGCCATGGCCGGCATGGCCGACTCTCGGACATCGTGAAGAAACGACGTGCGGTTCGCCGACGATGGTGAACGTTCACCCGAAAACAAACAGGTAACCCGGCCGTATAGTCTATTAATTTACAGTATTAGTTTAATTTACTAGTACAAAAGTGATCATGCCACCGTTGTTCTTGAAATTATGAACTTTTGCTTCAGCCCTGCGGTTTGAGAATATGAACTTAAACAGTTTTCTTTTGTGGGAGAGAAGCAAGCAGCTGCTTAGCAGTGCACTGCCCAGCCCACAATCATGGCCCAGCCCAAAGCCAAACACTCAAATACATGCGCTGTAAGATGTTGTAAGGCATTATGTAGTTACGTCGTTGTATTGGAGTCCTTTTCTCATCATGGGAATCATGGGAATAGGTCAAAACCTGCTGAATCCCTTGTTTGGGGAATGAACATCCATCCGCAAGCTACTGCGTGCCGTGACCCCTCACCTGTTGGAATTTGCTTGGCAGTGAGATGCAGTGAGTCTGCCTGTAGGTATGCCTCCCTCACCGTCAATAAAAGCCTCTTTGGGAGCTCCTAAAGGAACTGAGGCCACTTGGTGGGTTAAGGAACTGACGCTCCAATGCACTTACTGTGGCCTGATTATGGGTGTCGTTGTGCAAAAAGCAAAATCATGTCTTGGGAATGTTCGTCGCGAGAGACGAGTTATACTATTCCGAATGTTTCACATCTTGGCGGGCTCACCTCAACACATTGCACAACATGTCAATGTCGTCACCTGCAGGAACTATATATCCGTTGGCCTGGATTGCTGAGTTTGGTGGGCCATGTTTCACATGGTTGGAAAGCGTGCTCTGATTCTCACTTAGTGTCACATGCCAAACAAGTTCGCAAAACACACCATGCTGGGCCAGGCTGAATCCAATCTAAAAGGTCCACAACTGCCCACGCTCACTTGACAGCTCCTCGCGTGACGATGGAAAACACGTAGCCGCAGCTGTCCCAGCTAGAGTCAAGCTGCTTGGATTCTTCTCTCAATCTGCATGAGAGATCAGGAGATGTGCCAAGGTGTCTGCACCAAAACTCTGTTAAAACATGTTTCAACACATATTCATCAGAGACAAACCCTCGCTGGGCGTCATCTGGGATATGGCAGTGGGTCAGAACCTGGAGCTCTAAAGCCTGGTATAGGTTGACCATGTCTGGTAATCTATTCTGTTTAAAAGATATCAAGCAGGCTCCTCCTGTTTTGACCCACTGCCATGTCATTGAATCTGATGTTGTGCCTTTCGTCTTAGTCTTCACCTCCCACGGTCGCACGAAGAAACACAAACAACGACCAGGACCGTGGGACCAGTGGTCTCCACACGGTCTCCGTCCTCAGGTCTTCGGGCACCACCTCACACCGCGGATGAGCCGAGCGAGAAGTCGAAAACGAGAAGTCGAGGACTTTGGACCGGGAACAAAACTGACATGGAGCATCTACAGTTTCTTCGTGTCTTTCCGGCGGTAGGAAGTAAGTCGTTTGTGGAAGTGGAAAACCATTGCAAGCCGTTAATGATTGACAGCGACAATTGCAACACTGTCCTGATCGTTTAAGTCAACACATGAAACTGCATGATCAGGTAAAATGTCAATGACTAAGTCACATCGTTGGACGGAGTTTCCTTCGTCTGGACACAAGTTACACCATTCATTGGACGTGGGCAAGTCTTTTTTGATCCCGAGATGAGCCAAATCTTGATAGTTTCTCATGTTTCTCCAAACAATTTGTTTAACACACTATATATATATAACCCTTTGTTATACCAGTGGAAACATGTGGAAACTGCTTTTGGCTGTGTGTCCACACTCTCTCGTTACGCTTTTCTTGACAGTTCTTGACAATGATTGGTCAAGTGCAAACCATCCCGACTCTGGCGAACCTTTGGTTCCCGAATCCCAGAGAACCCACAAAGCAACCACCACTAACCTTTTCCTTTCACGCATACTGAGTCAACAAACTCGCGGTCAAAGTGACATGCAACACAGGAACCTTTCAGCCCTGGAAGTCAGGCTGTACTTCTGAAGGGTCCTAGTGTGAAAGCACACTCTTCAAGTTCACACGGCAAACACGTCTATGCCTGTACCGGCCGAAACCGATGCACAAACGCATCACCGGCGGAGCGAAGCGATGCGAAGCGATCGAGCGACCCAAAGGGATTCACCCGCTTGGGGAGTGGTCTCTGCTCTTCAGGCTGTCACAGGCCTCTTGACCGCAATGGGCAGTCGGCTCACCGCCGCATCGCTGGTCTCACCGCCTCACGTGAGAACTGGGGAAGACCAGAGAAGTGGGGCGTCTGTGTTGTGCTGCAAGACGTGTCTCGCAAATTCGCAAACACGGGGAAAGCTTCACGAAGCATTTGCAACGCATATTTACTAGCTGCTGGTGGGGCCTGGCAACCCATCTACTGGCTGGCTTCAATCATATGGTGGGGCCAATCAGATGGTCAAGGATCAGAAGGATGTTCAAGTTCATGGTCAACTCCCCTGTACCTATCTCTGCATGTCCAGCAAATTACTATAGTTCTGCTTCCAAACAAACTTCAAAAAACACATTTGCATCCCAAATAGAAAGGTGATAAGAAGATATGCGAATGGTTGGACACACGTGGCATTTGTTTCTACATATTCCGGGGCCCCTGGAAAAGGATGGCCTTGTCTCCAGAACATCAGAAGCAGCACACGCGGCTCACGCGGCTGGGCTACCCCGACCGGGCTGAAGTGGGGGCGGAATCTCTGCCTTGGCAAACAAAGTGTTGCTGCTTAGATGCCGTGGGTGATCCAGATAACTTTGCCTGATCTAGGTGGCGAGGAGGCCAACGGTAGGCAAACACTAGAGGATCTAGAGGTCCATGATCTTTTGGGTCAGCACCTACTCAAAGGAGACTTTCACACCTAGCCCGGTGAGCTCTGTGGTCCTGACTCCAAGTGTAGTGAAGACTCAGTCACTAAAAGTTGTGGGCTGGGAAAACAAGATTTCTTGCAGCTTTGTCCATTCAAAGAAGGGTGAATTACAATTGGGCTGTGACATTCCATGGGTTTTCAGTCAGTCACACACGGAGGAGTCCAGATACCCTGCGCCGGGCTTTGCTCAGTCGATACACTCAAACAATGGCTGTGACAAACCAAGAACTTGGATATCCAGGCTGGGCAAATAAAGAGCTATACTAACATCCAGTAACAACTAACCGCAGGATCTATGATTGAGCATGGTTGAGCAATCAAAACATAGTGGAGCGTCTATACTAATAACTAACTAATAACTAATAATTATATACACACAAAACACATCATGGAAGAGACCCCTAGATACACTGGAGAAAACACCTGCGGAAAAGGACGATAAAGATACACCCAATACTTCGATCACGTCAATCCCGCTGGAAATCGCGCTCAGGGACAAATCGCTAGTGCCGCTAGTAGTAACAGGTGCCTTACTAGTAGTAACAAGAAGCTACTAGGAACAAGTGCCTTAC